TCTTCTACCCTGAAGATGGAGGCGATACGTTCCTCCGAAACGTCGGTTAACACCACATATACATGGTGCCAAATCCCAGAAGACTGCTTTCTTCATAGTCACTGCCGTGAAAGCCTCAAATCTTACATAATTATAACTGCTGAATTTATTCAAGTAAGAGTCTTGATATTTCAAGCATTTTTAAATAACTCATAAAAATTACAACCAATCATGTGAAGATAGAAATAGGGTCAGTTACTGAAACTTCACAAGTATTACCTGTACCTCACACTTGCATTATAGATATAACTTCTCAGTGATGCCGCAGGAGACTTTAGCATCTGGGATGTATGTAGGAAAGGATATTGGTATTCGAAAGTACGTAAAATCTAACAAACTTTTTTGCAGTCGGCAAACTCTTGAATTCAGAGCTATTGAACATGCATTGTTTCATTTATATATGTGGATGAAGGCGGAGAATATCTCTAAAATATGTATAAGAGAAAAAAGTGTGACATTTAAGTGATGTGTGACATCTTTATATTTTCTGATATACAGAATAAATTTAAGAAAGTACTGTGAATTTTAAAAACATTCAAAAATTTTGACAGATTAGAGGCCTTGAGCCCCTGTGAATATGAAAAAGTTTCTTTGGGGAGGGTGGAGGATAGTTGTGTGCGCAGGCAAGTGGGCCTGCATGCACGTCACAAGCACCTAAATGGTTGGGCAGATTTGATTTGTATTCATTATTCAAGAATTCATCCATTATGGGTTGGTGCCTGGTGAGTATGAACAGTCTTGTGTCCTATTTGATATTCTTACAGCCGTGGCTATGACAGGCTCTCTCTCCCAGTATATAACACCATGTAGTCTAATGGTCATCAACAGGCATTTCAGAAGAACATATCACCTCTGCTTGATGCCTGCTTCATGCTGGTTTCGTGCTCAGTGTACTCTTTATCCCTGAAGATAGACATGATACGAGGCTCATCCACAGAGTAAGTTTCCCTGGGGCCGTTTACAGAAATAAAACACAATTTCATGGAAATATTTATTGCAACAGATACAGCAAGTGTTCAGCTATTTTTCAACATAATCGCCACCGGAATTGAGACGTTTGTCATACCGTGGGACCAACTTTTGAATACCTGTGTCGTAGAAGTCTGCTGCCTAGGATTGGAACCACTGTGTGACAACCATCTCCACCTCTGTCATTCTCAAAACGCTGACGCTCCCCGGACAGGAATTTCTTGAGGTGTATGAAAAGATGGAAATCACTGGAAGCGAGGTCCGGGCTGTAGGGTGGATGATTAAACACCTCCCAGCTGAACTCCTGCAGGAGACTTGGTGTCCGTTGAGCCGTGTGTGGCCTAGCGTTATCGTGCAGGAAGACAATACCGGCACTAAGCATCCCGCGCTGCTTGTTCTGGATGGTCTGTCACAATTTCTGCAGTGTTTCACATTAACGCTCAGCATTCACCGTCTCACCTCTGGTCAGGAAGTCAATGTTGAGATCGCCCCGTCTGTCCCAGCATACCGTGCACATCACTTTCCGCGCCGACGTCTGCTTGAATTTTGTCTTACAGGGAGATCCAGTGTGACGCCAATGCATTGACTGGTGCTTGGTTTCTGGGGTAATGTGTGCAATCCACGTTTCATCACCTGTGATGATCCATTCCAGAAACTTGTCGCCGTCATGGTACCGCTGCAGAAATGTCAATGCTGACTCCATGCGCTTTGTTTTGTGTTCTGGTGTCAGTTGCTTCAGCACCCACCTGGCGCACAATTTCCTGAACAACAGGTGCTCCGTGACAATTTCATGCAACAAGGAGCGGGAAATCTGCGGGACATGACTGCTGAATTCCGTAAGTGTGACGCAATGATTCTCCATAATGCGTTCCCGCACAAGCTCCACCAGGTCGTCTGTAATGATGGATGGCCGCCCACTGCGCTTCTCATCATGCACACTTTGTTGACCTGCTGAAAATTGTCTACACCAGCGACACACCATCTTCTTGCTCATGATGATAGGCCCATAGACCCGGCACAGTTGACAGTGAATTTCGATCGGTGCTATGCTCTGTGCATTCAAAAACTTTATCACTGACCGCACTTCACAGTCAGCGGGAGCTGGAATAAGAGCCTCCATCTTCAACAGCTGCAGTGATGCTACTATGGGAATGCGGGAAATTCCGTTAATGCATGCACCATGCTACGTCATTGTTCTATCACGTACGCGCAGTCACTTCACACAATATAGGGTTTGCTAGCTGTGGGACAAGTGGGAAACTTACTTTGTGGACATGCTACGTATGTTCCTCTAAAACCTCATTTGGTTTTCTTTGGACTGCTTGGTGTCATATCCCAGAAGACAGAAATCTTCATAAACACACTAGTTCTAAAAGTAGTCCCCTTCAGATCCCCCCCAGAAACTCAGTTTCCATGGCGACTGTTGTGACGATTTTGATCACATTTCAGTAGTTTAAGGGGACCCACTCTCTCAATTAAAGTGTATAGGCGGTATCTCTATGAGAGTAAGAGTATGTATACCAGGGTGCTAAATGCAGAATGTCAGTTTTGTCAAAACCATTGTTACTGGGCAGGTAGATTACATTGTTGATCAGTATTCAGTGACCAGCGGTGTTCTGTTGGGCAACAGTTTTTGTACCAGAAGTGGCTGCAGTACAAGGGACTTAGTGCCACCCCACAACAATTAAAAAAACAGTTTATGTAATTTTCAACATAATGTAGTCAAGGTTGATTGTATATGAGAAAGTGTGTGCAGTCATTGCACTGATTCAAATAATTTTGTAGGTATTTTGAGTTATTTGAAATTGTGAGTGAACAGAAATTCCTACCTTACCCCTTCGCAGAAAAAAACCAGAGTTTTACAGTCTTACTTATTACAGCTATAACACAGTGCTATAAATGCGACATCAGTATTTTTGTTTGTGGATTACTATAGCAACTGTTTGTTTGCATTTAATGCATGCAGATCTGTTGTGCCACATTGTACAAGGATTCCACTTTATCTTTAGACCAGTCAACTAGAAATTTGTTTGGCTGTGCCTGTCTACCTCTGGCTGCAAAATCATTTAGGTGTTTTATTCACAAATATTACTTGTAATAAGTATCATAAGTAAGATTTGAGGCTTTCACGGCGGTGACTATGAAGAAAGCAGTCTTCTGGGATTTGGCACCGTGTATATGTGGTGTTAACCGACGTTTCGGAGGAACGTATCGCCTCCATCTTCAGGGTAGAAGAAAAATATAAGAAATCTGCAAGCGAAGAGAC